ACTGGTTTTCCTGACCTACTCTAATCTCTTTTCAATCCGAACTGCTGCAGAACTCTTCTATACGGGTCATTCTGGCAACATCTTTTAAAATTTTCCTATTACCCCATCTGCATTGTCCTCTGGTGAAAACACTATCTCCTTCCTCAGATCTCAAGCAGTTCAACATGAGCCTCTGACTTCACTCACTCATCTCACTGTCTTATATTTCAATACACATTCATGACTTTCCCCCCACTCCCATACCAAACAAAGTCAAGTATGATTCAGTCTTCGTGTGTGACTCTCCAGTACATAACCTAGTGCCTTGCACAAAGCAGCCACTTAACAAATGTTTGTGGACTGAATGATGCCAATATAGAACCAATAATAACTTCATTGTTATAGGAATGGAGGAACAAAGTATGAGGAACATAAAGTCAATATAACCCAAGACTGACTATATTACTATGATTATTTCCTTACAAACTAAAAAGTGGAAAACTTAAGATTTTTATAAATATTAATGTGTAAAGACACGAATTCACACAAAGCAAAAAGTGAATGAAGAGGTACTAAAATTAATCACAATGTTGCAATGGCTGACTTTCTGACATCATTTAAATTATTTTGAGAAACCTGCCTGAAATAAGTAGAAAAGTCACGATTAAAAACAATGAAGACCTAAAAAGCTAGCTATTTTAACAAGAGAAATCAGACACATCATCCATGTCTGTGTTAAATGTCACTGAAATCACTCTGCTTTGATTTCGTAAATATGCTACTGTCTATTTTGGATAGCAAGTATTCAATATCCTTGATTTCCTTGGGGATATTATTGGCAAAATTACACCCAAAAAAATAGAAGTATGTTTTGTTTCTTATCTTTTTCATCCTTTATCTAGGAAACATCTACTATGTCCAAGATGCAGATGAGGATGCATGATGAGAGGGGGAACCAATATTTAGAAGGTGTTTGAAAGGATAGGACATTATTGTCCTACCACTTACCCTATGTGCAGGGCATTGTTTATGTGGTATAATTTAATGGAGCCTTACAAGACTCAATCTGCCCTAATATATTCTCTGTCAATGTACTGACCTCCCCTCTAACCTGGACAGAAGTTTCGAACATTCATTGGGCTTAAAACACATATTTATCATCTGCACAGATGCTATTAGGGAGTAGAAGAGGGTCTTGAGTTTCCTTTAGCCTAGCCACATTAATTCATCAGTTTGGCTAACTGTCACTGCGGAAAATATAGAGAGCCTAAAACTATAGAGAAGAGATACAATCAGGGTAACTATCAATTCAGTAGAGCGCATAAGATATAGACCCTAGAAATAATCTTAGAGAACAAACCTCTAATTGTATAAAGAAACCAAAGTTCTGGTAGGGGGTTATTTCTTTAGTATCAAATAGCATAGGACTAGGCTGAAGGTATTCTGACTCCCACTGCAATCCTCCTTAAATTTGTCATAATATCAGTCACCAACAAGAGTATGAACACCAGCATAAAGCACAGCAGTGAGTTTTAGTTGTATGTACGTGTGGAGTAAGGGGCAAGCATGATCACAGGGATAGGGAAAAGAATGGAGGCCTTCAAAAATGTGATACCAATGAAAAAGGATCAAAGGAGCAAGGAAGAAAGATGTTAAACACTTTACTAAACTAATAGGCAATTTTGTCTTTTAGTTTGGTACCCTTCCCTGTTCAAAGCCATCTAACCTTCATTAGGAATATATGCACTGGGATTTTCTGCTTTTTTTTAGCTGAGATCTGTTTTATCTAGTCTTGCCAACTCATGTCTCCTAATATTACATTTCCATATTCAGGTCATATGCAATCATGTTGTTGCCCTCTTCTCATCCTCTACCACCAAAGATAAATGGAATATGAGAATATTCCAATGAAAGCTCTTTGAAGGTAGAAACTGCTTTGTCTTTGTGTCCCCAGCACCTAGCACAGTGTCTGGTGCATGTCTGATAAGAAATGCTTATTGGGTTAATTCATTACTCTGTACTTAATACCCATATGACATGTAATATGGCATGTAGTTTATTTTAAAAGAACTGAACTTAATGGTCTGCACCTCTTTGGATTCTGCTAAATGGGAAGATACAAAAGAAGACCTTTGATTTATGATTGAGCTGTGCCTTATTGCTCATTCTCTTCAACTTTCTAAGACTTCAGGTACTTTCTTTCACCATACTATGCCATTATAATAACTTGTTTTCATTAGTTGCCCCAGTTTATGCATCGACGCTGGAAGGCTTTATGTTACTGTGCTGTAAATTATCTTTTCAAACTTTAGAATGAAAATAAAGCCAAAGCAATTAGTTATAACTGCATTGTCTCACACAGGTTGGAATGAAATGGTAAATATTTGAAGTAAAACCAATTAGGAACAAGGACAGCATCCAAAATGGTCTTTTCATGGAAAATCCAAATGGAAATCCAATACAAATCCTGATTAAAACCTAACCAAGCAAGACACTCCAGATTACCTGGATTCCAATTAAATATGACAAATGAATACTTGACAGGTTTCAATTCCAATTCTATTTATGTCAGAATGATCCATTAATATGGAAGATGAAATTACCAGAATCCCAGCAATTCAATTGTACTTTACAGCTAGACAAGTAATCTGAAAACTTGGACCTAACAAAACTCTCCCTCAAATGTCAACTGCTCCATTTAGAGAAACTGAAGTGCATCACTTCTCCTTCTGTCATTACCTACAGAACACTGCTAAAATGAATTTCTGCAAAGCAGATGACAAGCCACTATATAAATCCAGAATTTTGAAAGCAACAGCAAAATCCCAAGGCCAGAAGGATCACTTTCATAATGAAAGCCCCCACCTTTGTCAGGGCTCAAAATAAAGTGACTGTGGCTTTTTTTATTTAATAAGCAGTTGAGAGTGTTCCCTGGGGAGCATTTCAAATTAAGTGTTTTCCCTAATGATTGTGTCACCTGTTACTTATTCTATGGCATGTTTCCTAAAACATTACATACATGTGGCACATAGTTATGTTTTGGTGAATCATTTTTATCTTTCTTCTTTTTTTTTTTTAGAAATTAAATATCCACACATGAACTAAAACTGTCAAAGCATCTTGAAGATGATTTAGATTACAATCGTCAAGAGGTTAAATCTGTCTACTAATAAAACAAAATGTTTTTGAAGAACCAGAATAATACATAGATGAACATTTTGTCATTTGTATATTTTTCAACAGATTAAGAAAATCTTTATGTTCAATGAAAGCTATTGGTAAGGATTAAAAATTCATTTCAGACTTATAAAGTATATGCAAATTCTGCCTTCCTATTAATATACTGTATAAGTGATACAGTTTTCCAGAGGAACCTTATCACTGGCCAAATGATTGCCAACATATATCTTAACTACACAGTCAACAGCATTTCGATTTAAAATTAAAACTTCTTAAAATCTATCAAGTGTGGCTCAAAAGGGCTCTTCAACTTAAAAACAACAGCATAACAGACTCCTTCTGCCCATATAAATACACACTGTCATACACACAGATAAGCATGCCTTCGTAGCCATAAGGCAAAATGCCAATTTGAACCCTAAGTAATTAAACAACATGGACCATCAATCATCAGATCCAAGATCAGACCTACTCAGCCAAACACTAATGGTGAATGTTATCAAAATAATTATTTAATGAGATTGACTTTAATAATAATTTCACTCTTGGTCAGTTATTCCATTCTATACTATAATGCCCAATTTCAAAGTTGCTATATAAAAATATATCAATTTTTTATTTCTAATGCATTTGTTAATTTGCATATTTTGACCACAGAAAACAATATACTTTTTAAAGGACAGTTTTGTTTCAATTTGGGGACAGAACAGGGAAGGAAAATCACTAAGTATTAAGCCAATTACTGAACTCATCTAAAGCCAACTTGTGATTTTGTACTGTCATGAAAATACTTGAAATTCTCCTTCCTCCTACATGTAAATACACATTTCTACCTATGTATACATATGTATGTATATACATACATTTCTACCTATATATACATATATGTATATACACATACTTCTACCTATATATACATATATATGTATATATAGACATTTCTACCTATATATACATATATATGCATATATATACATTTATAATAATTACAAAGATAATCAAAGCTTCAGCATTCCACAGACTAACAAAAGCCTATTATTTTGGGTATACACTACTAGTAACACTTATGGCCTGAAAATAAATCTATTATGTGTCCTGGCAAATTTTTTAAATGTTATAAATTTCTAAATGATTTGTTTTTCATTCTGGGCCCTAAAAAAAACTGTCACTAAATATTTACTATTCTTTTTCTAATGTAAAAAAATATGAATTTAACACCTCACCACAATATGAGAAAAAAAAACGTGTTTCTTTCCTTCCTACATAAATTAGAATACTGCATTTAAACTGGCACACTCTGAGAGGACTGTCAAAATGTACTATAAACTTTATTCTCCTCCTCTGACTCTTGTAGCACCTAGTTGAAGCCATATATAAGTTTTGAAACATTTTTCTTAGTCCCTAGGAAAAATGAGAGTTGAGCAAGGTGTTTTCATTGCCATTTTCTTTCAGTAAGACTGGACATTTACAATTGAAGAAATAGTTGCATGACAAAAATGAATAGAAGAAAACAAGTACATGAGGCCTTTATCAGTTTCTGTTATAAAGAATTGTGCCTGGATTGTTTCCTCCATATTGGCTGCTTCACTGACATTTTTATAAGCAAATTTACTGTTTCAGAGGAATAATTTTAAGATAATGGAACAATTTCAGTTGATTTTATTTGTTGAGTTATGATCCCTTATTTGGTATTCCTGCTTTTTAGCAAACCTTATCATTTTAAAATAAAATAGTTTTAATTTAAGCTATTTTATTTTAGTTTTTAGACTGACCTTTCCACAAGTCTACTTATTATGGCTCTCTAGCGTGATTATGTGTGTGAATGTTGTGTTTGTCCCTACCATTTTCCATATGCTCTGCCTCACCAACACTGCCATCCGGCGTAGTCCTCTCATAGTTGTCCTCTGGGAGTGGAAGGGCACCCAGTCTTGGCCCTGATGAACTCTTACTGCTTGGTGTTTCTGACTCCTCCAGCCCGCTGTCATAGCAACTCTGCAATGACCCCTGATGTGGGTCCTGAGGCTGACTCACAACAGAAAACGTCACTCTACGAAATGGCTGCAAGAGAAGAGATTCTGAATGTCACTAAATGTGAAGGCTTTGAAATAAATGATTTTAAAACATGAATTAAGTACAGTAAAGCCTACAACTTACTAATTAAATATTTTAAAACATTTCATAAATTAGGTACTAACTTTTGAAATGGATGCATTTCTCTTTCAGAAAAAAGGTACAGAGCAACAGCAATATTAGATAAAAGTACACATAAAAATCTTGATTGATACAAGAACAAATTCATACTTAATAACTTTAGAAGCTGTCACTTCTGATATAACTATAACATATAAATTGTATATACAAATGAATGCCTGTGATTTTGGAAGTCAACAAGTCAAGTCAACATGCATTTATTAAGAGTTCATTCTGTATCAGGCACTCTACTAAGCACTGGGGATACAAAGAAAGGCAAAAACAAAACAAATATCCAAAGTGATCACTGCTTTCAAAGAGCTCACAGTCTAATGGAAGCTGGTGGGAATAAAGTTATCACATTATAAAACATGCTAATATTTAAACACTTCTGACAGAAAAAAAATTGTCCATGGTTGGCTATGTTTATATTTCACAAACTATCAAGGCTTTACTAAAGGTATTTGATAGTAATAGTATGATGATGGATTAAAATACTGATCATTATAGATTGATGTTTACTCAAATATTAGATAAAACTGCGTGCATATAATTTTGACCCTGAATTTTAAAAATGGAAAGATAAGCTGGTCAATGAGAATGAGTGAGGACATTTAGTGGCCAGTCCAAACACTACACTAGAATCCACATACTATCATCGACAGGAAGGCCCCTACACAGTCGAGTGGAGAAATCTATGAGATGTACAGAGGGAAACATAAAGCAGTTACACAGGACATTCAGATTTGTAATCTATATCACTGGAAGGAATAGCCTCATTAATGAGATGACAATTCCACTGGAGTAAATGGATATCCATTGCAGTAAACATTTATTAAGTACTTGTTATGAGATGCAAAGATGAAAACTCATATAGTGTCTGCCCTTAAGTAGCTTACAATCTAGTAGAGACTAAGATGGACAGAATTACTATAATGTTAGAAAATTATTAAATTCATAAGAGATGCCAAACAACTGAATTTGAGAAATGCAAGGAGAGGAAGATAACCTTTGGCTATGGGAACAAGGAAGGTATCTTGGAGGAACTGGTGCTTGAGCTGAGGCTTAGAAAAGGAGAAGAAAGTCAACAAATAAAGATGGTTGCAATCCATTCCAGGTAAAGGGGTATAAATATAGGGAAGAAAAAGGAAAAAAATATAGATCAGAGGACAATGAGTTGATCAATAGAGATGTAGCACAGAGTGAACATAAAATATCAAGTAAGCCAGATTGTCAAAGGTTTTGAGTAACAGTTGTATAAAAAGGTTGGATTACAGTTATTGGAAGGAAGGAAAGAACATTTAGTAAGCAACTACTCTATGTCTAGCATTTTGCCAGCACTTTATAAATATTATCTCATTTGATCCTTACAACAACCCTGAAATGTAGGTGGTATTATTATTTGTATTTTAGAGATGAGGAAGCTGAGGTAGACAGAGGTTAAGTATCTTGCCCACGGTCACATAGCTAGTAAGTGCCTGAGGTCAGATTTGAACTCGGTTTCCTGACTATAGCTCAGGGCTGTATCCATGGTGCCATCTAGTTGCCAGTTGTTGGTGGTCAACAGCAAACTACTAGGCTTTTTGAGCATGGAAATGCCATGACAATATCTACATATTATTACATACTTTGGCACTGTTGTTAAAGATGGATTGGATAGGTCAAAGATGGAAAGAACTAACTATATTGAGGACAAGAAAAGAATTAAGTAATGGGCAGGACCAGTGCTCAGGGTGAATAAGATAATGATAACTGATGATGGTGATAAATCAGAACTATTTACTTTTCTTTTGTTTTCCCTGCAAAGGAAAACACCCTTGTGTTGGAAAGTTCTTAATAAAAATAGTTACTAGAGAATTGAAATCTGATATAAATATGGAGATAGTAAAGAACAAAACAAAACAAAACAAAACAAAAAAACCCTAGCTACCTTTGATTCAAGTTACTAGGCTCCAAAGAGCTACAGAACAGAAGATTGAAAGACTGGTGATCATGATTATTGAACCTCTGTCAGTAATTTCTGAAAGATCATAGAAAAATGCCAAAGGTGTCATAGGCTTAGGGAAGGGCAAATATTGTCCCAATTAAAACAACAACAACAACAACCCATAGATGAGAATGGGTCTGCATTTTATAGGTCAATGGACTTGGCTTTGATTTCTGGTAGCAATTTAGAATATTTTATAAAAAGAATAGTTAGTATATTGAAAAGGAAGCAGTGATCATAAAGAGTTAGCAAAGCTTCATCAAGAAAAAACTATGCAAGACTAATCTCATTTCATTTTTTTGACAGGGGATCGTTGGTGGGGTGTGTCGGGGATAGGAGTGTTACAGTCAAAATTTACCCAGATTTTAGTGAAACACTTGGCTGAGTCTCCTGTGCCATTATTATGCATAGATACAGGACAGATAATGGTATAATTCAGTGATCTGGAATTTGGATGTGTAAATCCCAAAATAGTTATTGGGGCAGCTAGGTGGTGCAGTGGATAGAGCATCAGTCCTGAAGTCAGGAAGACCTGAGTTCAAATCCAGCCTCAGACATATAACACTTACTAGCTGTGTGATCCTGAGGAAGTCACTTAACCCCACTGCTTAATCAAAAAAAAAAAAGTAACAGTACAGTATAAAACTGCAAGAATATCTGGAAATAAAAAGAAAATAAATTACTATAGAAAAAGTCAAAAGGCAAAAAGGAAGTGAAGTTCACATTGCTCAGTATAATTCTCTGCATACAGAACTTATATTCTTAATTTGAGCTTCATGGAAGAGTAATTAAGGACAGTTAGGCAGAGCTACTGGTTTTAAGACATAATAACAAGGGTCATGGAAGGACAGATGGAATATATTTCAAAAATCAATTTATATTTATCATCTTATTTCTTATCTAGCATCTTTATATTTATTATCTTCCAAGTAATTTTTAAAAGATTCTCTTGTCCCTAATTCAGGAAAAATGTTCAATACAAACAAAGAAATCTTTAAAAAACACACACACAACAAAACACACATATGAAAACAGTCCATAGGACAATTAGATAATTCACTTTGAAATACAAATAGATATAATTGTAGCTTTATGTTACAGATGGCTTTCACAGAATGAGGGCTCACATACTAAAGGACAATGTTTATTAATGGAAAGTGTTCATAGTCGTTGAATAGTTTTTCTGAAGACATTATTAGAGATTACAAATTTTTAAGGATTGTTTTATATTTGATAAAGAATTATACACTACTCAAGGCATTAGGCAAAATGTAAAGTCTACATTAAACACGGCACCTACCTGTATGGAACTTAGAGCAGAAGGCCATAGCATATACATAGATAAGTATAATGCAGGTAAAATACATTAGAGAAGTGAAAGTGCTTTGTGAAATTGAAATTTGGGAGAATAATTACTGATTAGGATATCGAAGGAAAGCTTCATAAGGAAGGCAAATTTAGTTATGTTAAAAGAATGGGTAGGGAATCTCATAGGTGAAGAGGACAAAGGAAAACAAAGGCACAGAGATGGAAAAGAGAAAAATGAGAGACAGAGACAGAGAGAGACAGAGAGAGAGAGAGAGAGAGACAGAGAGAGAGAGAGAGAGAGAGACAGAGAGAGAGACAGAGAGACAGAGAGACAGAGAGAGAGAGAGAGAGAGACAGAGAGAGACAGAGAGACAGAGAAAGAGAAGAGAGAGAGAGAGAGAGAGAGAGAGAGAGAGAGAGAGAGAGAGAGAGAGAGAGAGAGAGAGAGAGAGAGAATAGTTCAGTTTGTCTAGAGTGTAGAGCAAATGGCAGGGAACATCACGCAAACTATCAAACTATGATCAGAACACAGATTCTGAGCTGGACAGAACATTAGAGGTTTACCCCTCTTATTTTACGGATGAGGAAACTGAAAGAGGGTTAAGTACTTTGCCCATGGTCATATAGCTTGTAAGTGTCTGTGGTAAGACTTAAACTCAGATCTTCTTGACTTCAAGTACATTCCTTTATCTACTCTACCATCTACCTTACTTTCACTCAGTATGACCCGGTTACACATTTATAGATAAAAAAGTAGGGTGGTACCAAATTGCGGAAGGCCTTGAATGCAAGTCAAAGGAATCTGAACTTTATTGACTGGATAATAGAACATGATTGAAGACTTTCTGGTGATACAACCTAATTCAATCATGAAAATAATTTTTAGTTTAAAGGAAAGACTGGAAAGGAAAGAAAGTCAAAATATTAGGGGATAATAGTCTATAGAAGGGTGAATTAGGGTCTATATTTGGTTAGTGACAATGAAAATTAAAGAAATAGATGTAAGAGGTTGTGGAGGTCAAATCAACAGGTTTTTGTAAAGTACTAAGTTTGAGAAATGAGAGAAGAACAGTGGAAGAACTTCCATACCTACATGAATGGTGGTGCCAGTGGTAGAAATAGACCACTTATCATGTTCACACCAGAATACAGAATATTGATTTTTTTAAAGCAGTATTCCTATTTGCAAACATATATTCATTTAAACTTTTATTTTACCTAAATATGCTTTTACTTTCAAAGCAAGTTCTGTATATGAATGGAATTTATATTCAAAGACAAAAGTAGATTATTTAATACAGTGGTTCACGAAAAATTCAACTATCTTCTATACCCTCAAATTGCAATATTATATTAGAGGGCTGCATTGTAATAGCAGCATTGTATCACTGACTCATGGGCTCTCTTTTGTAACATATTGACAAAATACCATTCTTTCAACTGTACAATTTGATCTGCAATATGAAGCAAAGAAAAAACAAACCAAAAAAAAAAAACCCATGGAGTACACCAATCTAAAATCTGTGGGGGAAAGGAACATTTAGGAAATATGAGATAAAATAATTCAACACAC